GATTTATTATTAAGTTTGTTTGTTTTGAAAAATAGGATATCACATGTTAATAAAAGAGAGTAGCATTTATAAAAGAGTATATATTTAGCACTCCTCAAATTATTTATGTGCTGAAAATGTCATATCAATAATCTAATTGGTAGAGTTAACATTTTTCGATCTTATATTAGACATGTTTAGCATTATAATCTGGTAAACCCGATAATATTTTTTAATTGGAAAACTTAAAAAAAAGGCTAGTTAGGAAGAAGACTTGTTTTGAAAATGTGTCTGTACTATTTAATTAACAAGCTCGTCAACTACACTGTTATAAAACATTAAATTACCGAATATTGGCAGTCGGATAACTTCAATTATTTTAAGGTAACGTTTGATTTATGAGTTCAGAATCATAATTTAAAATTTTAATTTTTGAAATTTTAATTTTTTATAAGAAAAAAACGCTGTAGCCAAGCTATAAACCACAATCTTAAATTAAACAGAACTCTTAAAACTTGATACCCGATCTATAGATCTGGACGCTTCACGGCTGGTGTGGTAAAAATCACGTCATAAATGTAATTCATAATTGTAAAAACATCTACCCAATAGTTAATATTTTCACTATATTTACCTGATTAGTTATAAGCGCAAAGTTGCTCATATAATTTAAAAAATAACTAAAACAAAAGTATACATAATGGTCAACAATCACGAAACCGTGATCTAGATAGACTAGTCCTTTTTTTTTTTTCCTAACCGACATGTTTAGCATTATACTGTTTTTTTTTTTTTTTTTTTTTTTTTTTTTTTTTGGGTAGAACTGTTTAGCATTATATTTTAGACAAACACAAATTAGTTTCCAAAATTCAACACTTAAGAGCCTAAAAAGTATTATCGTTCCGCCTCCCCTAAAATAGTTAAATGAAAAAAGGGTGTCTGATCTTATCTAATCAAATTATCAACAGAAAAATCAATTATAAACATTAAACATCCAAATTAACTAGTCCTTAATCCTTAATAATATTATTAAACAGCACTCCATGAAGCACATCCTAAAACTGTCCGACAAATATATAGCGACGTGAGTTTTTTAGGGCTTATTCTTTTAGAGTTTAACTTGAGTATAATTCTTGAGTTGAGTTTGACTTATAATTTTAGTTAAACTTATAACTTGAGTTTGTGTTTAGTTGTGTACATTTAAATTATGGTTTGAGATAAGAATCTTTTTGAGTTTGTGTTTTTATATTTAGATAATATTTTGATAAAAACTCAATACTAATGAAAAATTTTAATAGGGTATATGGGTCGGGTTTTATTCGTCTTTTCGTTGTCAACGCATAGAAAAAAATCATATAAATCAGAATTAAAATGAAAAAGTTATAGCATTTTTAAGAATAGAAAAAATACTGTTCATAAATTTGAGTTTGAATTTCTCAAACTCGAGTTCAAACTCGAGTTTAAACTCAAATTTAAACTTAAAAAAGAACATGAACTTAAATAAAGTTATAATTCAAGTTATTTTTTTTTTAGTTTTGTTATGAGAAGAACAACCCCTTAATCAACCAAATAAGTTTTATTTATCCAGAAAGAGAAAAGAAAAAAAAAAGCGTATAAAAGTATATCTTGATTTCGGACAAAACAAAAAGGAAAGAAAAGGAATTCATAAGATATGAACAACAATTGAAATAGAATGTCCCCTTAAGAAAATTGGATTGTGGAGCTTTGCCTTTTGGTTTAGGATGTCCCTTGATCAATCACGTACTAATAATGAGTGTGTTTTGTACTACAAAAAAAATAATAGTTGTCAGAAAATGGGGACAAATGTCCACTTTCCTTCCACACAAACACAAGCATTAGTGGGCCATTCTATTTAGAATTTGGGGTTGACCTTGTTCTTAAGGAAGCAGGATGCACGATTGGCTGATTGAGACACAAAGACGCGTTCTGCGGTTAATTAATATGAAGCCCGCTAATTAATCTCGTTTCGTAAGAGAGTTTAAACCTGAATGTCGTTTGAACTTTTTAGATTAAAGATTATTTTAGTTTGTTGATTTGAGTTTTTGATGTTTAATTTATGGATTCAGAATCATAATTAAGAATCATTCTCGATTTATGTGTATTTTTTATGATAAAAAATACTGTAGCAAACCACAAACCATGATTCGAATCATGGTACGAATCTAGCAACCAAACGATGTGAAGTATGTGAGAGCTTTTTATTGTAGTAAAAAAATTAGATGTGATTGTTTCTGAGAACTTTTTACTGTAACAAAATTCGAATCGGTGAAATGAACGAGGCCCAGGTATCGTTCAAATTTGAGTTTTTAATTTGAGCTATGATATAATTTTATGTGAGAATTTTTTACTATAATAGAAAAAAAATTAGACGTGACTTTTTATGAGAGTTTTTAATCGTAATGAAATTAATATTAAAAATTTAAATCGGTGAAACTATGTGTGAGATTTTTTTAGGCTTGAACCCGCAGTTTAATCTTTTTTTTTATGTGTGTATATGAGTTTAAACGAAAATTCAATTTCTAACCCAGCTCATATAATATCAAATTGATCCCGAAGCAAGTAATCCCAAACGAAATATCGCATGAAAAGAAGAAAAGATCGAGGATTGGGAAATATTCCATTTTATACTATCTACATGCAAATATAAATATTAAGACTCCGTTCATTTCACCGATTTGAATTTAAATTTTAAATTTTATTATTTAAATTATAAATTTAAATTAACGAACTAAACTAGTCCTAATACTAAAATAAATTTTTTTTTAATTATTCTCACATCCGCATCATGGCAGATTTTTTTCGGAGACCATTTCACTAAACACCGTGAAAGCATAGTTCCCGATGAGCAAAATAAATAAATAAATAAATAAGCGCAGTTTTTAAACACTAGCATTCTAAGAAATCTTATTGCAAAGATATTAGGATTACACTAAAACAAAAGTGCTTTATGCCTTCATTGTTGTCAGCACCCACTTTATTCATGCGAATGAACATGAAAAGGAGTTATCATTGCTCTCAAACGCCTCCCATTCAAAAATAACAAAAGAATTAGGAAAACACTGACATAAATAAAAGAAAACCTAGAAAGGAACGATGAGTGAAGCATCAAAATCACACCCCCATAACTCGGAGAATAACCAAAACGTGGGAAAATTAAAGAAATTACAAAGAGACATACCCACATGAAACAGGAAACTGCCCAAACAAAGGAGGACATATGACCTGCACAAAATTTATAAAATAAAAAAGGGCTCATTATAATGACACCACTTGTGTTTTATTAAAATTACAGCAACACCTCATTGACTAAATTTAATAACAGCAAAACTACCCCGCGTTTATTTTTTATTTGATTTTTTAATAAAAAATTGTGTTAGGATGTGTTGTAATATTTTTTAAAGAGTTAACGTATAAAAATGTTAAAAAAAGTTAATGCGTTTAATTTTTTGTATTATTTTTTTGTCATTAATGTTTTAAGTTTAATTTAGACCATTTTTGTTTCATTATTAGAATAAAATTGTCCAATTCAATTTATTATTTCAATTAAATTAATTTTCATTATAATATATTTTGTCCTAATAATACACCAGATATTAAATAGTTTTTAATTGAATACGTTAGTTTAGTGGATAAAGAACATTACTAAAACAAAAGATTTTTAGGAAAAAAAATCAAAAAATATTTGTTTATATTAGAGTGAAAGTTATAGTTATAAATGTGTAAAAATTAACTAAACTCATTTTTTGATGCTAAATAAAGGCATAAACATCTTTTTTAATATTATGTACAACTTATAAACATTTTGCAAAAAGATGGGCATTTTTGGCATTTATGGTGAACTCTCAAAATGCTGCTTTTAACTATTGAATTTAATTTTTGACGGTTAGACGTTTAGATCCGTATTAAAAATTTATAACATGTCGCTCAAAACTACTCTCTTTATAAATTTAATCGTTAAAAATTTAATTTAAGAGTCAAAACCAACACTTTTACTGATAAAAACATTTAAGGAGTTTCATTATAGAAGAAGTCCAAAAAAAAAGTTCGTATGTAAGACCCGTTTAGTTCGCTAATTTGAGTTTTTAATTTAAGTTGAGATGTGACTTTATGTGAGAACTTTTTACTGTAGTTAAAAAAATAGATATGACTGTTTTTTAAAATTTTTTACTGTAATACAACTTAAATTTTAAATTTAAATCGATAAAATAAATAAGACCGTAATTTTTATAAAGAACTGTGGCTTTGTTACCGCGGTAACTTCTCCCCTTAGAAGCACTTTCAACGAAAACGGAAATGAAAGATGAAGAAAAGAGAGGAAAGAGTCTAACAACCCGTTTGGTTTATGCGGAAAAAAAAAAAAAAAAAAAAGAGAGAAAAGAAAGAGGGGAGAAAGCAAGGCGTAAGAAGAAACGAGAGAAGGAGAAGAAGAAGGGAAAAGAAAAACGAAAAAGAAAAGAAAGAGGGGAGAGACACGTGGAGAGTGGGGAGGGGAAATTGGCGGATGCCACTAAAAATGGCGAAGACATTGGATTGGACACATCCATCGCCATTTCTGTCTTCCTTCCATTCCAACTGTTTGGTCTGTTAGCGCTTTTAGGAGCCAAATGCGGAATCAAAGAGCATCCTGTTGAATCTTCTGTTATTCAAACCTTAACCAAACATTAAAAAAACAAAAAAAAACAACAACAACAAACAAGGAAAAAAAAAAAAAAAAAAACACAGAAACAAAGAAAAAGCAAGTCATTTTTACGAATCAACCTTTTCTGCTTTCCCCATCAATCTAACAGCTCCAAACACTTTTTTTTTTGTTTTTTGTTTTTTCTTTCAAAATCTGAAACAACCCCATTTCATCCAACCCAAAAGACAACCAAGGGGAATAAAAAAAACAACATATAGATTTCATTCATTTTTTGCTTTTTTTTTGGGTTTAACAGAAACAGAGTCTGATTTTGTTTTATTGATGATCATAATGATAATGAAATGAAAGTGTGGGAAAGAGAATGAGCAACGAGGAGCTTGGCAGCGGCATTGGCGGGGCCTGGGATTGGGAATCCAAAGTGCGGAAATCTCAAACGACAACAAATAAGAAAAGATCAAAGTCAAACGGCCTGTTGTTCTCCGTCGGAACGACGACAATGTCGGCGGTGGCTCCGGCATCGGACGAAGACCCGGGCGAGAGGGTGATGTCGAACAACACCGGGGACTTCTACACCGGCGAGTGGTCCGATAGCTTCCCCCACGGTCACGGAAAGTACCTCTGGACAGACGGGTGTATGTACGTTGGTGAATGGCACAAAGGGAAGACCTTGGGAAAAGGCAAGTTCAGCTGGCCTTCTGGCGCCACCTACGAAGGCCAATTCAAGAACACTTTCATGGATGGAAAGGGGACTTACACGGGCTCCTCTGGGGACACCTACAGAGGATACTGGCTCAGGAACTTCAAGCATGGACATGGGACACAGAGCTACTCCAATGGCGATTACTACGAGGGCGAGTGGAGGAGAGGCTTGCAGGACGGTCATGGGAGATACCAATGGAAGAACGGGGCCCACTACGTCGGACAGTGGCGGAACGGTTTGATGCATGGGAATGGGAGCATGATATTGGCCAACGGCAATAGGCATGATGGCTCCTGGGAGGAAGGTTTGCCTAGTGGAGAAGAAGGCGAGAGGGAAGCTCTTTCCGCGGATTTCGGTCATTGCAAGGTGTGCTTATGCGAGAGGATTCCGGTTTTTCCGTCGCAGAAGTTGGTGAATTGGTCCGTGGGTGAGGCCGGCACGAGGCCTCGGAGGATGTCGGTCGACGGCAGGAGGGTGGGTAATTTCAGCAAGGAGTCCGTTGATGGAAGACATAAGTTGTTCAGCAGCACGCGGCCAGTGAGTAGACAGGGGATAACAATTTCCAAAGGGCATAAGAATTATGAGCTCATGCTCAATCTTCAGCTGGGAATCAGGTACACAATTAGATGCGATTTTTCCTCGTGACTTTGTATCTTACATTATCTTAATAATATGAATATGTCTGAAAAATGGGAGAATTTACAAGAACTAATTAGTAATTTCCTTTGTCCAATGTGGAAATTGTTTGGTGATTTTGAATGTGAACGTTGTGACATGTTTATGTTTATCAGCAAAGTCTTGAACTTATGGAACTGATTTTTGGTGCCATAGCACAGACATTCGGTTGGTCGGCCTGCTCCGACAACGTCCCTCGATCTCAGGTCTTCGGCATTTGATCCAAAAGAAAAAGTATGGACAAAATTTCCACCTGAAGGATCCAAGTACACTCCACCACACTCCTCATGTGACTTCAGATGGAAGGATTATTGCCCTGTGGTCTTCAGGTCAGTCTTAGAACAATGAATTGAATTCGTTATCGTCTTTGGACTGAACATTTTACCTTTAAGCACATTACTTCTTCAATGAGGATGTAATTGGCACTTTAGGAAACTTATATTCTTAAGTGGTTCCATGTAATTCCCGAACTGTAGTTTTCGAATTCCTCAAAAGCGCACCGATAGAACATATTTTGTTTATGTAATTGGACATGTATGATGATCACATCCTAGAACAAACCTAGAAACAGAACTTGGCTGTCGTTTCTCCAACTGAAAAACATAGATGTAAGTGGTGCGATTGCGTATTTTCAGGGCTCTTCGGAAACTTTTCAAGGTGGATCCAGCCGATTACATGATTTCGATCTGCGGGAATGATGCCCTCAGGGAGCTCTCTTCTCCTGGAAAAAGTGGAAGCTTCTTTTATCTGACTAATGATGATCGTTACATGATAAAAACTATGAAGAAAGCAGAAGTAAAAGTAAGTTCCGTTTCTTGCTTCCTTCAACCAAATTTAATATATATATATACACAACTTGTTCTGATTAGATCATATTTCAACTGAACTATATTTCGACTATCAATGCTTCATGAACATGATCACAGGTACTCCTAAGGATGCTCCCTGCCTACTATAAACACGTCCGCGCCTTTGAGAACACTCTGGTCACCAAATTTTATGGCCTTCATTGTGTAAAACTAACCGGGGCTACTCAGAAGAAGGTAAATTTGAGGGCTACAGAAATTTTACTTTTGGATTTTAGTAAAAGCAAAATCAATCTAATCCATGAACTTACCGTATTCCAGGTCCGTTTCGTTATAATGGGGAATCTCTTTTGCTCCGAGTACACAATTCATAGACGCTTTGATTTAAAAGGTTCTTCCCATGGTCGCTTAACTGGTAAACCCGAGTCAGAAATTGATGCAACAACAACTCTTAAAGATCTTGATCTCAATTATCTATTCCGATTGCAGAAGGTTTGGTTTCGAGACTTCTGTAGGTGAGCTTCTTTCCTAAATTTTATTTACCATTTTCACACCTCTCTTGGTTGGTGTCAGTGTTGTCACTTGAGATATCAGTTTATGAATTATTTTCATGTTCCATGTTTGTATTGTTTGTAACATAGCATGCCATCATGCAGGCAAGTGGACAGGGATTGTGACTTTCTTGAGCAGGAAAGGATTATGGACTACAGTCTATTGGTTGGTCTTCACTTTCGAGAATCGTCATGTCAGGAACCTGTTATGAGTCAAGAAGGTGATCCTATTGGTTATTTCTTCACGTCTTAAAAATTTGAATCTTCGCTTGCTTGCTTGCTATAAGATACCGCGCTCTTTCTCCGTAGATTGTGGTTACTGATATGTTTGGAACTTGTCTTGCAGGAAACGACCCTGACGATCAACCAGGGCCTCGTCTTTCCAGAGCAGATATGGATAAGCTTCTTGTAGACCCTTCTCGGTAAAGTTCCCCACCATATTATCCAGTTTCAGATTCCTTGCTGCACAAGAAACACATAAAAAGTGTTGCTTTTATCATTGAAATTTTCATTGCTTCTCCCAAACTGTAAACAGAAAACTTTTAAACCTCTTTTTTTTATCAAACTTGCTCGTTTTCTGTGTTTATTTCATTGTGCCCTTCTGATTTCCCAGTTTGCAAGGCATGCTCGCAATGTATCTCACATAATGATCATTCTCATCTCAAATAGTCAGAACTGTGACTTGAGACTGACAATTTATATGCCTGATTTGCACGCTCTTCAGGTTGGCTCCCATTAGGTTAGGTATTAGAATGCCGGCACGAGCTGAAAGGACGGTGAGAAGAAGCGATTACGAGGCTCAGCTAGTCGGAGAGCCAACGGGAGAATTGTATGACATCATCCTGTTTTTCAGTGTAATAGACATACTGCAGGACTATGATATCAGCAAAAAGCTTGAGCATGCTTACAAGTCCTTCCAATATGACGCAACTTCAATCTCCGCCGTTGATCCAAAACAATACTCGAAACGTTTTCGCGATTTCATCTTCAGAATTTTTGTAGAAGACACATGAAGGTTTCATTATCTTGACCCCCCCCCAACTCTTCTAACACAGCAGCCGGTGGCCATTCGTACGTGTATAGTCGATCACTGGCGCAACTTAACAGAGTAAGCAGAAGCTTTTCACTTTGGTCCTTAACATGATATGGCTGCAAGAGTTGATAATCTTGCAATTTGAGATTGCTCTTTTTCTTTCTTTTTTTTTTTTTTTTCCTTCAATCTCTTGCTAAGTTATAGTTTCAAATATATTACCCGTTCTAGTGAAGGTATATAGAGAGCCATCCAAAGTTTGATTTGTCAAAATTGTAAATGATATTTTTACCAAAGGAATGAACCTCTTTCGGATGTGATTCTTTTTGTATTCATGAATTCTTTTTCCCAGCAGGTTAAAGTTAAAGCTGTTTCTGGGATTCCGAAGTTGAATAAAAATGGATGAGTGTACAGTTTATAGCATAAGGAATTCACAAACTTTTAGCAAATTTTAATTAACCACTAATAATATTTAGATTTGAGGGTCTTTCATTAAAGAAATATCTCTTCTGATTCTGTTTCGTGCCATCGCGCATATAACAAATGAATTACATATAATAGCTTTTGTTTATTTTTTTTTTGTTACAAATTCTAGAAGACCAATATGATCTTTCTTAAAGACGTGCTGGCAATAAACCCTCCAAGCTTCTAGTTGGGCATTCTGGATTCCAGCTGTTGAGCTCGTTGTTGAATGTTTTAGCGAAATAACCGCTTGCATTTTGTACATTATTATTATTGTTTTTATTATTTTAGTTTTCTCTAGCTGAATGCATGTTGATCATTATTGTGACTACCTATAAAAAATTACCTCCTCTTTTTTTTTTTTAATTTAAATAAAGTGAGAGGATGGCCCGTTCGGTTCGCTAATTCGAGTTATTAATTCGAGTTGAGATGTGATGTTGTGTGAGAGCTTTTTACTGTAGTAAAAAAATTAGATGTGACTGTTTCTGAGAGCTTTTTACTGTAACAAAACTCGAATCAGTGAAATGAACGGGATGGTACAAGCATTTTGCTAGTTCCATGGTCAACAAGACAGGAAGCAATAACCATGTTCAAACAAAAGTGGTACGGATAGAGCGACTAACCCACACAGTGAAATTAGCAATCCTCAAACAATTCCTTTATTTTTTTACATAGAATGACTATCAATTATTCTTTGTAAACATCATTTTGCAAATAAAATTTTTGAAAAGTTATTATGTCAATAATATGTTTTTACCAAGTCATTCTTACAAATGAAACCTCTTGACAAATTAGGTGGATGGTCTATTTTGACCACCCCTTTAAACTAATAGCTGAACTTGTTTTTAGCAAATGCCCATACTTTTTTTTATGAGGGAAATTATCTTGTTTTTACGATAAATTATGGTTTCATAACTGATAAATCGGGGAAATTATTGATTGAAATTGGTTTTATCATTAACTGATATTGTTCAAGATAAACCACCAAATTACTTAGTGATAAACCGTTTTATGATTAATTTATTATGATTTATCATTAATAAACGGGCGTTCTTCTAATTTTACAAAACTTGGTTCATTTACTACGAAAACAACTCAAGAAAAGGTTGATTTTGCACACATATCTTTATTTTACCATCTATGATGATTTTAATTAGTATAACATGTTTGTTTCTTCTAAAAGTCATGAGTTCTCATCAAATATTTGGAATTATATGATTCATAAAAAAAACCTTTTCTCGGCTTGATAAAAACGCTAGTTTACTAATTCATCTTAAAAACTTAAGTTATTAAAAAGTGGCTTTGACCTCTGTGTCAACATTCAACGGAACCAAATTAAATTACTTACCAAAAAAGCATACTTAATAAAACTAAGAACGACAAACAAAAATAAAAAAGCTAATAACGGCGCTTTTCTTCTTTATAAGAAAGATAATTATACAAATATCCCGTATCTTATGAGGACTGCTCGCTATCCCCTGATTTATTTTGTTTTACAAAACCTTGCAATAGTGGTTGCAACGTTATACAAACATAAGTTTACTATTTAATCCATCTTCAAGATCGTAGAAGTAATCGTGATCTTCTTTATTACAATATGGCCTTTTGTCCCTGCAAGAAAATATGTTTCACTCAGATATATATCAGATCTAGTATATTTAGCAGTGCTAAAGACAATCATGAGCAATATTTGCATTTGTCCATCTCCTATATCGTGTTTGGTAAGAAAGAAAATAAAAAGAAAAGATCCATAAGGACGAAGGGGATGGGGACGGGATAACAATAATGATCCCTTTTTTCCCAGTCAAAAGAAAATGAAAGAAAAGAAAAAGTGTATAACTTAGAGTGAGAAAAAAAGCAATAGAAAGAAATAACCTCTCATATTATGTTTGATATGAATTTTCTCCTCTAAACATTTCATGATGACAAAGTTTAAAATTAGAGATTTTTGAACGAATATCTCCCACCAAACAGGTCTCAAAATATTTCCATTAACCCTGTTCCTCATGATTTACTCTCTTCTTCTAATTTTCCCTCCTACCATATAAGCTCTTACTGTTAATCGACGTGAATTTTATAGTGGATCGACTCACAAAAGAACAAAGACAATTGTATCACTCTAAACAGTCATTAGAAGAACAAAAATTCATTAAGATTTAGACAATTTGATCTGTGAATTAATGTTTAAAGATAACAGTACTTACTATGTATCATTTGTCAACGGTTTCAGCACCGAAGCCTCATCGGTATCGGTTCGGAGGAATGGAATACACTGGCTGAGGAGGATTCTTTCTCGGCGATGGTGGAGGTGAAACAGAGGTCCTAGTCGGTAATATTGGCCGATGATGAGGAGGAAAATAATTTATTGGTGACAAATGTGGACGTGAAAATTGGGGCCTTGCAAAGGCTGCTGAGAAACAACTGTTACATATAACGAACAACAAAATATTAGCAATGGCAAAGCAAGCGAGGGAATTAAATCCTTTCTTTGCCATTTTGGTGTTTGTTTTGTGTTGTGCTTTGTTCAACACTTGTTAACCAATTTATAGACTGCATACAATGACGGAGTCAGCCTTTCACTTCAATAGGGACGTACAGTAAACTTTTTTAACAAATTATCTTAGAAGAGACATATAAAAAAATATTTTTTATTTTAATAAAAGCATATATTATTTCAATGAGGTCTTAAATATAAAATTTTAAAATTTTTAAAGATAATATATATATATTTTTTTAAATTTGAGTGAAGACGGTTACCCCACTCATCTTTAAGTGCCACCGTCACTTTGACTGCATATAGTCTTTCCAAGTACGAGTATATCGTATGAGAAGGATTGGTCAGCTTTAATTTCTAAGATCTGCGTGTAAAACACTTCCACTTTACTTGTTTTGCTTCATTTTCTCGGCACTATTCATTTGCTAAAGGTGGACTGCGTTTACTTTGACTTCTAGAAATTCGGCCAAAGTTATTCTAAGGCTCCGTTCACTTCGCTGATTGGAGTTTAGACTTTGAGTTTTTCTACAGTAAAAAGCTCTCACAAACAATCACATCTAACTTTTTTGCTACAGTAAAAAGCTCTCATATAAAGTCACATCTCAACTCGAATTCTAAACTCGAATCAGCAAAGTGAACGAGGAGACTTGCTTGACTTGGACCTGCAAAGTCTACAAAATAAATATACAATTGAAATATATGAACATCCAATAAAATCAGAAATTAGTTACCACATCTCATTATCAATCGATGCCATGATTGCTGGCCTTGCACGATGATGTTAACCGATTTGTGCTCTCTCAGTTGGTTTTTGACTCATGCCAAGGACCTAAGACGTAGCATTATGTTGTTATAAGCCAATAATGTTGTAACAAATTTGAAAGTAAAGCATGTATATGAGATCATTTGTGTATAATGTTTGTCCACTTTTAATGTTAATATAAATAATATTGCGTCGAATAGTACACTTTGAAAGTTATAGATGGTATTTGAAGAAATAAAAATTATTAATTACACGACATAAGCAATCAAATATTCAGTCTCAAAAAGTTATACGACCAAACTGTTGGTTTCAAAGAGAACTAGTGGCTAAAGTTTAGTCGTAACAAATCTGCTGTTTTTGAGTCGTATTGATTTAGGACGACTTTTAAACGGTGACTAAAATAACGTCTTTTTGCGACTAAGAATTAGTAGTAAATAATGGAAATTTTTTTGTGATTAAATATTTAGTCGCGTATAAGCTTATTAATATTATGACGAAATATGTGGTAGTAAAACCCTTCAATTTAGTTAGAATAACAGAATCATTGGGTTGTTTTTGGCACTAAAATTTGATAGTTTTCATGATCAAATTATTAACTTCCAACGATAAAAATATTAGTCACAAAAAGGCTTTTTTTTTTTTTTTTTTTTTTTTTGCGCTCGACACTCCTCTCCTTTATTGCATCAGGCAGGCAAGTCAATGATAGCCAAAAATCAAAAATAAAAAATAGAAAAAAAAAAACCAAAAACCAAAAACAAATTATTTGAATGATTGAGTATAGCAATATATATGAATGATTAGCTGACATATCATGGACGTAGCCAAAACTAAACGTAGCCACGTATGCATGAAAGCCACGTGGTACTTACCACAACGAGGCACATGAGTCATCACCTCAAAACCGATTATATATAAAGTGCAACAAAACATAATATTAGATTCATAGTTTTGTCGACTTCTTTCTTTATTTTGCAGGAATTATAAATTAAAGGCGTTTGTGTATTCACCGGCTTGAAGAGAGGATCGCAGGGAATATATAGAAGCGCTGTGAAGATCAAAACGATGTCGGGAGCACAGGGAGCTCAGCCGCCGGAGGCGAAGACGGCGACAACGTACGAGTCGGTTGCGGGAGGAGAGAACCGGACGAAGACGGACTTGAGGTCACAGCAGGACCAGGGCGGCATCGAGATCGATAAGCTGCAGGACAAGGTTCCCGATCCCCTCGGAAAAGGCGGCCCCGTCTTCGGCGAAGGCAAGGGCGAGGAAAACAAGCAGGATCTCGGCGTCACCGGCACCGGAGAGTAATATATATATATATATATATATATATACCCGATCCCCTCGGAAAAGGCGGCCCCGTCTTCGGCGAAGGCAAGGGCGAGGAAAACAAGCAGGATCTCGGCGTCACCGGCACCGGAGAGTAATATATATATATATATATATATATATATATATATATATATAAAAG